CAGCAGCAGCTGGGGCGGCAGCAGCTAGATACACAGCAGCTGGGGCGGCAGCAAGTGGTTCTACAGCAGGTGGTCTGGCAGCAGGTGGGCCGGCAGCAACAGGTCTGGCCACAGCTCTGGCCAGAGCAGGTGGAACCACAACAGGAGTTGACCATGGTGTCAGAGAGTAGAGGTTCTGGGTGGGTTTCCAGGAAGGTGGGTTGGATAGGTCTGGAGGTTTATTGATCCCACACTCCCTTTTATACCCTGCAAGAAGGCTACTGTCATCAGGCAGCACCCTATCCTTCTTACTCTTTGTGCTGATAAGTAGGCAATTATCAAATTAGGCAAGTGTGTTTAGGTGCTTCAAGTGTTCAGGATGGATGGGAAACAATCTCTTTTCCTGATGTGTTAGCACTTATCCCAACAGCTCTTCCTGAATCTCCTCTAATGGGCCTTTCTTGCTTTAGCTTCCTTAACAACAGCTGTCACAAGACATCTGGCCATTCGCTACTGTATGCATCTGTCTCATTTACCACAGGATGTGGAGTCAACACTTGATACTGAGTGTTATATTCCCAGATACTTGCGGGCATCCAGGAGGATAAATCTGACTCATGAATAGGAATGTTGGTTCTTTCACAGTGAGTCAGGTGGGCCAAGAATGTTTATATATGAAACTAGAAACCACTGACATGAGATAGTGAAGGTAATTAGGACATTTCCCCTTTCTCACTGTGATTTCTCATGTTGTTTTGAATGTTTTCCTGCCAATTCAACTTATATGACTCAGGCTTTTTGCCTCTTATACTATTTCTCACCTTTCCAATTTACCCTCTGTGTTGAGTTGCTGGTCATTAAATTGCCTTACACTCTCTGGTGTCATTATTGTAAATATCATTGACTTCTTTAGTTAGATTTATCACTAGGTATCTCATACGTGTTATGACTATGGTAAAAGGGATTACTTTCTTCAGTTCTACGTTGGTAAACTTGTTGTCTATATATAGAAATGCTACAGATTTTTGGATGTTGATTTTTTTTTTTTTTTTGAGAGGTTTTTCCCTATAGGGCACATGCGCTTGCCAGACAGACAGAGAGAGACATAGAGACAGAAAGCGAGAAATCACGCCCCCCCCAGGGGGGAAGGTCACGCCGCAATCCCTTCTCCTCCATTCCCCTCTAGGGATCTTGGGCATGCAAGTACACGCACCCAGCGTGAGTTTTAAGCCACTGGGTCCGGGACACGAACCGCTGTCGACTACATCCGCGAACTGCTGTTTCCCTCGATGTTGATTTTTTTAGCCTGCCACTTTACTGTATTCATTTATTACTTCGACAAGGTTTTTCATGGGAACCTTAAGTATACCATCATGTCATCTGCAAATACAGACATTTTTACTATTCTTTGCCTACTTGAATGCCTTTTATATTGTACTCTTTTCTGACTGCATTGGCTAAGACTTCCAGCACTATATTAAAAAGTAGTGGAGAAAATAGGCAGCCTTGTCTAGTACTGGTTTTAGAGTAAAGCTAATAGCTTTTCAGTATAGTGTTAGCTATAGGTTTTTTATATATGGCTTTTATTGTGTTGAGAAATGATCCTTCTACACTAGTCTTACTGAGAGTCTTAACCATAAAGCAATGTTGTATTTTGTCAAATGTTGTATTTTTTCTCTGCATCAATTGAAATGATCATATGGTTTTATCTTTTTTTCTATTAATACGGTGTATTATATTTAAGGTCTTGCATATGTTGAACCACCCTTACATTTCTGGAATAAAGCCTACCTGGTCATGATGAATAATCTTTGTTATATGTTGTTGAATATGATTTGCAAGTATCTTGTTGAGATTCATCCGAGATATTGGTCTGTAGTTTTCCTTCTTTGTCATATCTTTATCTGCTTTGAGAATGAGGATGAGGGAGGCTTCATAAAATGAACTTGGAAGGTTTCCTTCCTTTTGGATCTTTAAAAATAATTTGAGCAGGCTATGGAATAACTCTTCTTAAAAGTTTTGTAGAATTCAAAAGTGACACTATCCGGACCAGGGCTTTTTATTGTTGGGAGATTGTTTATTACTGATTCAATCTCATGGCTTATTATGATTCTATTCAGGTTTTCCATGTCCTCCTGATTCAGTCTTGGTAGATTATATGCATCCAGAAATTTGTCCATCTCTTTCATGTTCTCTTGTTTGTTGGAATATAGTAACTCATAGTATCCTCTAATGATGTTCTGTATTTCTATTGTGTCTGTTGTAATTTTGCCTGATTTATGTTTTTTTTTTCTTTCTTCTTCTTTATCATTATAGCTAATGGTGTGTCGATCTTGTTAATCTTTTCAAAGAACCAGCTTTTGCTTTGATTTATTTCTGTATAGTTCACTTATTTTCTGTTTCATTTATTTCTGCTCAAATCTTTATGATTTCTTTTCGCCTGACATTCTTTTGTTGTTGTTGTTGTTGTTTTCCCAGTTCTGAGGCATGATGTTCGGTTATCTATTCGCCACCTTTCCATATTTTTCTTATGTGCACTAATTGCTATGAATTTCACTCTTATGACTGCTTTTGCCATGTCCCATAGATTATGGAAACTCTTGGACTCATTATTATTTGTTTCCATAACTTTTTTGATGTCATACTTAATATCTTCAGTAGTTAGAAGTCATTCTACAATAGATTGTTTATTTTCTATGTGTTTGCGTATCTTCAGGGGTGTTTCTTGAAATTAATACTGAGTTTAATTCTATCATGGCGAGAGAAGATACTGGATATAGTTTCTATGCCTTTGAATCTGTAAAGGCTTGATTTGTGTCATATCATATGGTCAATCTTTGAAATGGTTCCATGACAGGGTGAGAAAGATGTATATTTAGTGGTCTTAGGGTGGAAAGTTCTATAGATTTCTGTTAAGCCCATTTGATTTATAGTATCATTTAGGTATTGTATCACTCTGCTTATTTTTTGTCTAAAAGATCTCTCGAAAGGAGATAATAGGATGCTGAAATCCCAACAGCTATAGTGTTGAACCCTATCTCTTCTTTTAGCTACAGCAGTCTTTCCTTCGATTATTTAGGTGCTCCTGAGTTGGGTGATGATATTTATAAGTGATACTACTTGATGAATTAGCCCATTTATTATTATATAAGGCCCTTATTTGTCTCTTCTTTTTTATTTTTATTTTATTATTATTATTATTTTATTTCAATGTCTTTTATACATTCAGTCGTGTTTTATTTTTTTTCAACTCATTCTCCCATCTTTTAATAGGCTTGATCATCTGTTTTCAGGATAGCTGCTTCAGTTCCTTGTGTATTCTAGTTATCTAATGCATAGTTTACAAAAATATTTTTCCATTCTGAGGGCTGTTGATTCACACTAATTACTCTCTTTTGCCAAGCAAAAACTTCTTAGTCTAAAGTGTACTTGTCTATTTTGGGGATTATTGACTGTGCTTTGGGAGTCTTATTTAAGAAGTCTTTGCCTACCCCAATGTCTCCCAGAGTTTCCCCAGTGTTCAGTGTTTTTCAAGAGTAGTTTTATAGTCTGAGGTCTTAGGTTTATATCTTTGATCCACTTCGAGTTGATTTTTGTCAATGGTAAGAGGTAGGTGTTCTGATTCTTCTTTCTGCATGTGGATATCCAGTTTTTCCAGCACCATTTGCTAATGAGGTTTTCCTTTTCCCACTGAATTTACTTGTACCCTTTTCAAAGATCAGTTGGCTATATGTTTGGGGGTTTATTTCTGGGGTCTCTACTCTGTTCCATTGGTCCCCATGTCTGTTTTTGTGTCAATATCATGCTGTTTTGATTATCATAGCTTTGTAATATATTTTGGGGTTAGGAAGAGAGTTGCCACCCACTCTACTCTTCTTGTGCAAGATTGCTTTGGCAATACAAGGTCTTTTATGATTCCAGACAAATTCTAAGATTGTCTTTTCTAGATCTGTGAAGAATGTCTCTGATACTTTGATTGGGATTGCATTAAATATATAGATTAATTTGGGTAGAATTGCCATTTTGATTATATTAGTTCTTCCAATCCAGGAACATGGGATGTCCTTCCACTTTTTTGTGTCATTTTCATTTTATGTATGTATGTATTTATTTATTTATTTAGCTTCTTGTAATTTTCCTTGTGAAGATCTTTAACTTCTTTGGTTAGATTTATTCCTAGGTATCTTATACTATTTGTGGCTATTGTAAATGGAATTACTTTTTTCAGTTCTATCTCAATCTGCCTGCTGTTTGTATATAGAGATGCTATAGATTTTTGTATGTTGATTTTGTATCCTGCAACTTTACTATATTCATGTATTACTTCCAGAAATTTTTTTCATGGATACTATTGGGTCTCCTATGTATAGCTTTTGAACCATTCAACCAGTCTTTGTCTCTTAATTGGAGAATTTAATCCATTAACATTCAAAGCTATTATTGATATTTTTGGACATGTTACTATCATTAATTGAGCCTTTTTCTTTGTTGTTTTTCATTCTCTTATACTGTCCATCTGACTTTTTAGTTTTCCTGGTAGATCATTCCCTTCAGAACCTCCTATCAAGGTAGTCTGGAGTTGGTAAACAATTTCAAGTTTTGTGTATCCAAGAATATTTTTATCTTTTCTTCCCATTTGAAGGATAATCTTCCAGGTATAGTATTGTTGGTTGAAATTGTTTTTCATGTAGCACTTTGACTATATTTCCCCATTCTTTCCTTGTCTGCATTGTTTCTGATGAAAGGTCTGATGTTAGCCTGATGGAATAACCTTTGTAAGTAACTTAATGTTTCCCTCTTGTCAATTTTACTGTCTTTTCTTTGTGGTTTTGGCCAATCTAGCTATGGTGTGCCTTAGAGAGGATCTTCTTGGGTTGATTCTTTTTCGGGTCCTGTGTATTCCTTGGGTCTGGATATTTGAATGCCTAAGTTTAGAAATTTTTCTTCCAGGATTTCATGGAATAAATTATCAATGCCCTTATTATTTTCTTCCTGTCTGGGATACCAGTTATCTGGATGTTGGGGTGCTTAATGGTATCTAGTATTTCTCATATATTATCCTCATTTTCTTGGTTGTTTTCTCAGTCTTTTTTTTTTTTTTTTTAGAGGTTTTTGCTATAGGGTGCATGCACTCGCCAGAAAGACAGAGAGAGAAAGAGAGACAGAAAGCGAGAAA